GTCACTATTTGCAATGATTTTATTTCTTTGTTGGAAAATAAGTGTTCATCGTCCCCACTAACCTTCATGCTCTGTGAGATCAGAGATCCCCTCAGACCTGCTCACTGTGGTCTCCTCTGTACTTAAGAGCAGCACCTGGCACCTAGTAGGTGCTCAGTAAACACTGGTTGAAGGAAAGAACGAAGTCAGTCACAGGCCCCGTGCCAGATGCCAGGAAACATCTCAGCATCTCTGTTTTTCGCTTGCAGCCCTTACCTCGAAGGCCTGAGACCAGATCGGGCCCTGAGCTGAGTTGCCATCTCCCTGAACTGTTGCAACCTGGGCTGATTTAATAGATTCACTTTCTTAGATGCCAGAGGAACATGCCCCGTGGGCCCCAGGAATTGCCAGCACCGACTGGCATTTCCCTGCATGCCGTGTGCTAGCTTCAGAGCAAGCTGGGGGAAGAAGTAACAGACGCCCCGTCTCCCACAGAACCCCTGAACTGGAGACCTCCCCAGACACAGGAATGGTGTCAGATGCTGGGCATCCCTCCAGAATGACAAAGAGCCATTATACCCAGCCTGGCCCCCCATGACCAAGAATTGCTTCACAGCCTGTCGCTCACATTTCTTTGGTCTGGCCCCATACTCGCCTTTCCGGCCGTGTGACTGTCCTAAACTACCCATGTCCCTTGATCTTCCTTGCCCACCTATGAAAGTCTTGCTTATGGTTCCTTAATCATACAGTTCCACAATCCCTTGTCTGCACTTCCAAAATCCAAAAGCTCTGACCCCTGCAAGGTTTTTCCAAAGTTTGCAAACATTGGACCACCAAAGTTTGGTGGTCCAGCCCAGACCACCAGGAACCCACTGCAGTTGAGCAAAGGTGGGCTTACTGACTTGTTGCCGTGAGGGAGAACACATACCACGCGTGTTCTGATAGCTCCCCTTCACCCCACTGACCCCTGCCCTCAGTAGTACTACCCCAGCACTGGAAAGGTGAGATGCACAGCATTTATCAGCCACATCCAGTACAGCCAGGGGGACAGGACGCCACACGCCAGGCACGGCCACTCACCCTTGGAAACAGAGTGAACCAGAGCACAGGCAGTGGGCCGCAGGCTTTGTAGTAACAGGGTGGGGTGCACCCTCTGGTTCCTACAGGAGGTAATTGGGTTGTTTGAATAGTTTTGCAGGCTGGCAGGGAACTGAAGCCCCTCATATTGAGGACAGGATGGAGTGCAGCTGGTCTGGCTGGTGGGGGAGCTAGCCAGGTGGGGAGACTTTCCTGCTGGGTGTGGGGCATATCTGAAAGGGCAGGAGGACTCTGGTTAGTCCTTTGAAGCCCTGTGAGGACCAAAGATACCAAGGTAGCACTTGAAATTTTAAGTCTTCCAACTCAGCGGGGAACCCAGGCACGTCTCATAAAAGGGTTCAGTTAGAAGGACTTATTTTAGGGCTGGCCGAGTGGCTCAGTTGGTTAAGAGCTCGCTCAAGAGTTTGAGCTCTGAGCAACAGGGTCCCCAGTGGACTTATTCTAGGATTTGAGCGCGTGTTAGGTTACTGGGGGGAGTGTCCTGGATTGGGTACTACCAGGAAGCAGGGCTGACTCTACGATTGGGTACTTTGATCTATCTTATCTAGAAGGCAGGAGGAATGGAGCAGGTAAAGCTCTAGTTGGTCAAGAAGCAGCAGTCACTCCTGTTAGCTGGGATAGGGGACTATCTGGTCATGTTTGTGGCTTGGACAATATTCTTGGTCCAAGAACCTGGTTGTGACTGGTCCGGTTTGTCCTAGCCCATCACGGGGGCAGAGCGGCCCTGTCAGGTCTGGCGTTCCATGGAGTTGTTTGTGTTCACGGGAGAGTCCCAAGGCCCTCCTAGCAACTCCACGGCCAGTGGCGCCAGGCCAGTTCCGGCTGTCAGGGGCTGCTTTTCTCTTCCTCCATACCCCCCACCCTGTAGCCAAGGGCGGACAAAGGCAGTCCTCAGAACTCAGAGCTTCGCTGCTGCCAAGTGTGGCCGGTCAGGAAGTTGTTCAGAGACCGTCGTTGTAGCTGGGCTGTGGTTAGAGCCTCCTGCTGTCTTGCAGGTTAAGTTGTCGAGGGCTCCCCCAGGACAATTGCTGCACTTAAGACCCTGGACAGAACACATCGGTGCCCCGCACACAGGCCATTATCAGAAATAGAAGTGGCTGTTGGGTCCGGCACCAGATCCTGAAGATGGGCCTCTGTTCCCGAACCCAGGCCATGAAAACTCCCCCCAAAGTCCAGCTGGTCTTTCCCTGGAGAGCCAGGTGGCTTTTTTTTTTTTTTTAAAGCCTAGTCACAAACTGTTCTACGTGACCTTGGTATTTGTGAAGTATTTACATAGGTGCAGCAAGAATGTTTGCTTGAGCATAAATTCCCCCTCGGTTAGCCAAGAAGAAATTCCAGGTTTCATGATATGCTAATGAATTTACCTTTCACTCGATTTGTTGGAGCAGAAGTTGTGTCACCGGTGACATCTGCTAGGGTAAGAGACAAGTTTCGGAGGAGCTTTCCCAGTTGCATTGCCCCTGCCATGGGAACTGTGGCTGGCATTTGTGTGCGTGAAGAGAGTCACTGATCCCTTTGGGCGCTCTCCCCTGTAGCCTGTGCTAGCATCTTTGTGGGGGTGTCTGGGTGTTCTTTTTAAGGGAACACAATCCACTTTTCAGGGTAATTTTCAACATCTGGAAGGCTCTAACAATCATCCAGAGTGCCCAGGACGAGTGATGTGTGGCAGGCGGCTAGAAGCCTGATGGACACATAACAAGTGGTAACCGACACCCACCAGGATGTCTGTAATAAAAAAGATGGACAGTGACAAGTGCTGGTGATGATGGGGAGAAATTGGAACCTTCACACACTGCGGATGGGAGTTTCAAAAAGTGCATTGTTGTCTGGCAGTTCCTCAAAGTGTTAACAGAGAGTTACCCTATGACCCAACAATTCCACTCCTAGGTAGAGACCCAAAATAACTGAAAAGTTGTACTCAAACAAAAATTTATACGCAACTGTTCATAGCAGCTTCATTCATAATAGTCCAATGGTAGAAACAGTCCAAATATCCATCGGTGGATGAGTGGGTAAACAAACCAATCTGGGCATACAATGGAATATTATTCAGCCACAAAAAGGGATGAAGTGCTAACACATGCTCCAACCTGGATGAACCTTGAAAACATGATGCTAAATAAACCAGTTACAAAAGACCACATATTGGGCCAGCGGAGTGGCGTGTTGTTTAAGAGTTGGCTTGGGATGCCAGCTCTGAGCCTCAGGGCCGCAGCTGGGATCCCACATGACGGCCAGCGACACTGCGCCCTCTACAGCTAAGATGGTGAACAGCAGCTCGACTTGGAGCTGGGCTACTGTGAGTCGCTGGCAACGGTATAGGCCACAGTGGGGCTGGCTGGCAGCTGGCGTGAGCTGCCGTGAGCGGCCGTCCAATGGCCGGCGAGCAACTGCCTCAGCCGGGAAGAGCACAATGATAACACCAACATGGGCCAGTGAAGCGATGTCCTCCACAACTAGACTGAAGAACAAAAAGGACAGCAACTTCTCTGTTCCCCTTCCCCGATTCCCAAATAAAATCTTTAAAAAAAAGAGGCCACATATTTAGGTACGTGAAATGTCCAGAAGAGGCAAATCCATAGCGATAAGAAGCAGATCAGTGGTTGCCAGGGGCTGGGGAAATGGAGAGTGAGTTATAATGGATACAGCATATCTGTTTAGGATGATGAAAATGTTTGTAGGTGGATTACAGTGGTGGATGCACAGCTCTGTAAATACACGAAAAGTTAATGAATTGTATACTTTAAATGGGTGAATTATATAGTATGTGAATTATATCTTGATAAAGCTGTTACAAAACAAAAAACAAAAACAACCCAGTAGTATGTGAGTGGGGCCCAGGCAGAACTGGGGATGTATACATTTATCACAATAGGAGTGAGCCGATTTTCTTTTTCCTTTCAAGGTGAGCAAATTTCCTTCAGTGGAATTAAGCAGTACCCTTCAAAGCAGGCTGTCTGTCTAAAGAGAACAAACTGAGTGTTGTAGCACTGAGAGTCCCAACATCAGTTCCCACTATTTCCGCAGAACTGTTGGGTTGTCGGAAAAGTTATGATGTATTTTTCTATGTTTTTCATTGCAAAAATGCGTCATGACTTTTCCAACAACCCAATACAATTGGTTTTGTGGATAGATATTAACGGCCTGAGCAGAAGCATTTGTTGACGTGAGGTCAAGAACATGTGCTTAATAGACAACATCCCTGCAAAGGTCTTTACATTCAATTCAGACGAGCTTCCTTGCCCTTTCTCCCATGGTGTGATTGCTGGCAAGAGTGGGATACCAGGTCAAGTCTGGGAGAGGAAGTCTTTAGGTCTGCACTGGCCTGGCACTTTACATATATTATTTCTACACACCCTCACCCCCTGCCGTGGCAACCTCATTTAGCAGGCAGGGAAGCTGCGACAGAGAGGTTGAGTCATTTGCACAATGTCACACCACTGCTGAGAAAGAGTCACACCCATCTGCCTAAACCCATGATGGGCAGGTGTCCACTGTCTCTTCTGTGGGGACGCTGGGAAGCTGGGAGAGATTGGTCCTGAGCCCACTGAACCCCTGAGCAGGGCTCATGTCATGTGCTGTATATAAGCAGTGTGTACCTTATGCCAGGAACACGGGGTGGGCCAGGCGTGGGGGTTCTAAGGGGCTGAGTCAGGGGCCTTCCCTGCAGACTTCCCTAGGAAACCAGGACCAGCAGGCTGCCATTGTCATGCCTGAGAATTGACACAAGTAGGGCCTGACCGTGACTGTGGCAGCTGGCTTATGGCCATGTCCTTAAAGTGTCCTTATGGCCATGTCCTCCCTCAAAGGGGGGAGCACAGCAAGGTTCAGGAAGGTCACGTGCCCCTGGGAGGGCGGGGACATGCAGAACTCAGACTTGACTAACGCCCGTGCCTCATGCCCTTTTCACCTTCCTTCTCCAGAGACACCTGTGTGGCATTTGGCTGCTGTCCAGAAACCAGCTTAGCCCTTCAGACTCTCTCCCCAAAATCTGGGCTCTCCTAACTCCAAGAGTTCTGTTTCCTGTCCTGATTCTAGAGACTTCCGAGGAGTGAGCTGCCTCTTCGTCGCCTTCCCTGCATGCTTCTTGGAAAGGGTCATGGCTTATGTAATTGAGGGGCTTGGATTAAAAGGCCGGCCGTTTGTCTGTTCAAACATTCATCACCTATTAACTGAGCACCTACTCTGCCCCACTCCAGGCCCTCGGAAGCATGTCCACGGCCATGTTCTTTGGTGTCCTAGCAACCAGAAACTCTCATCCGAGATCTGTGACCAGCACAGAGGCCATATTCTCCTGGACTGCTGTGACTCGCAGCCTCTCTGGGTCTCTGAGCACCTGTTTGTGCAGCTTGTGGGTGCACTGAAAGCCGCCACTTGAGCCCAGAGACGCTCAGAACCCCAGCCCAGCCAACGCCCTGGTAGGATGAGCTTCTCGCTCACCTTCTCCGAGCTGGTCAACATCGCCATCCCGCAGTGTGGCGTGTTAAACTTCAAGGCCCTGCACCTCCTGCTGCATGGCATCCTGGAGCACATCCACATGTCCGAGCTCAAGAAGGCCCTCTCAGGGGACGAGGACTTCCTCCAGTCCTCGCAGACCATGTTCTTGCCGCGAGAAGGAGACGCCCAACCCATCCTCAACCCCATGAAGAGGCTGAGCAACGTCTTTGACCACGTGGTGAGCCGCATCGACCAGATGGAGAGCCAGCTGACCATGCTACAGGAACTACCCTCCACCTCTGAGCTGCTGCAGGCCAGTGAAGGGACCAGCCGACCCGCCCAGGAACTGTGGCAGCTGATAAAGCTCCGAAAGATGGTGGAGGGCAATGAAGAAGCCACAGAAAAGGTAACCCGCCCAGCCTCCAGAAGCTCCCTGACCCCTTTGCTCTCATCCCAGACAGGCATCTCACCCCCAATTCCCTTGTGTCCCCTTGTGATGGGTCCTCCTCGTTTGGGAGTCAGGCAGAACCAAAGCTCTAAGCTTGCATCCATTGTCTAGTGTTGAGGAAGGAAGCCAGATACAAAAGGCCACATATTGTGTGATTCCATTAATATGAAATGTCCAGAATGGGCATCTCCATAGAGACAGAAAGCAGATTGGTGGTTGCCAGGGGCTGGACAGAGAGGGGAACGGGGAGGGCCTGCTAAGTGGTTACAGGGTCTCCTTTTAGGGTGATGGAAATGTTCTGGCACTAGATGGAGGCAGTGGTCACACAACATTGTGAATGCACTAAATGCCACTGAATTGTTCACTTCAAAATAGTTCATTGTATGTTATGTGAATCTCACCTCAATAAAAAAATTATTATTATTATGGACCTCCCATGGGGGAGGCATCATGGTACTTAAGGCGAATAAGAGTTCATATTCTAGCGAGGGAGACAGACAGAAAGCAACTGAATAAAAACCTACAGCTACAGGAAGTAGCCATGGGAGGAACGGGAAAGAGCATTATCCCAACTTTAGAGGTGAGAAACTGACCCTCAGATATGCTCATTAGTGACAGGAGCAGGAAGGGGACCGAGGCCTCTGACTCAGGACCTGTCTTGGACCACATGCTCTCCTGCCTCCCTGCCCCGCACCTGGATATGCATTAGGGCCTTGGGAAGACTTTGGATCTTAGGGAATGAATACCCTGCCTCCTCTTTCCCCATTCTCATATTGGCAAAATTGGAGGGCGGGTGGTATGGTGAGTGCGGTGCCTGTGGGTCAAGCTCCAGGGCACTGAGTGCGTGGCAGGGATGGAGGACGGATGTGCAGGGCTGCTGGAGGACATCCATCACACAGAGGGACCACTCTGAGGCACGTGCCCTAAAGAGAACTGGGAACAGAGCCTCACAGACTGAGTTTGGGATTCTTCTACTTTTTGGAAAAATTTGCGAAGAATTGGTATTAATTCTCGTTTAAATATTTGATAGACATCAGTGGTAAAGCCTTCTGGGCCTGGCCCTTTCTTTGTGGTATTTTTTGTTGTTGTCGTTATTTTATTACTACTGCAACCCCTCCCCTTGTTTTAGGTCTTTTAGATGATCTATTTCTTCTTGAGCCAGTTTTGGTAGTTTATGTCTTTCTAGGAATTTGTCCATTTCATCCAACTTATCTAAGTGGTTGGCATACAATTGTTCACAGTATCCCTTTTATAATTGTTTTTATTCTGTAGGGTCAGTAGTTCCCTCTTTCATTTCTGATTCTAGTAATTTGAGTCATCTCTTTTATTCTTGGTCAATCTAGCTAAAGGTTTGCTACCAGCTTTCAGTTTCATTAATCTCCTCTATTTTCTATTTCATAGTTTCCACATAATCTTTATTGTTTTATTTTTTTTACTAGCTTTAGGTTGTTTGCTCTGCTTTTTTCCAATGTCTTAGGGTGGAAGTTTAGGCTATTGATATGAGATCTTTCTTCTTTGGTAATATAGCCACATCCAGCTAAAATTTCTAAGTGATGCTTTAGCTGCATCCCATAAATTTGGGTGTGTTGTGTTTTCATTCTAATTCATCTCGTAGTGTTTTCTAATTTCCTTTGTGATTTATTCTTTGACCCATTGGTTATTTAGGAGAGTGTTGTTTAATTTCCACATATTTGTGAATTTCTAATAGCTTCTTCTGTTACTGATTTCTAATTTACTTTCATTGGAGCCAGAGTACACATTTTGTATTACTTCAGTCCTTTTTTAATTTATTGAGACTGGTTTTACAGCCTAGCATATATGGTCTGTCTTATAGAACGTTCTATGCGTGCTGGAGAAGAATGTGTATTCTGTCATTGTTGAGTGGAGTGTTCTATAAATGTCTATTATGTCTAGCTGGTTTATAGCATTGTTCAGATCTTCTGTTTCCTTGCTGATCTGTGTAGTTGTTTAATCCATTATCGAAAATGGGGTATTGAAGTCTTCAACAATTCTTGTTGAATTGTGTGTTTCTTTCAGTTCTGTCAACCTTGGCTTCATGTATTTTGGGGCTCCATTGTTAGGTGCATATATGTTTATACTTATTATATCTTCCTGATGAATTGAACATCTTATCATTATAAATGTCCCTCTGTGTTTCTAGTAACAATTTTTTTTTTCTTAAAGTCTATTTTGTCTAATACTAGTATATCCACTCCAGTTCTCTTTTGGTTACTACTTGCATGACATATCTTTTTATATCCTTTTATTTTCAACTTACTTGTATCTTTGAATCTAAACTATGTCTGTTATAGACACCATGAGTTTGGATCATATTTTCTAATCCATTCTGCCAATCTCTGCCTCTTAATGGAAAGTTTAATCCATTTAATGTAATTACTGATAAGAAGGACTTCTGCCATTTTGCTATTTGTTATTTTTGTTAGCTGAATGCCTAACTATGCACTAGGCCCTTTATATACATTATCACATTTTTTTCATACCCATTTTATGATTCAGGAATTGAAAACTTAGAAAGATGCAGTAACAGCCCCAGTCAGTGGTGAAACTGAGCTATGAGCTCAGCATTGCATTTTTCAGCTCTTGCCTGGAAGTTTCCTCACTGGTCCTGCAGCTTCCCCTATTATCCTCCCAGGGCCAATCTACGCATGCAGTCAGAAGGACACTTTAAAAACGTAAATCCAGGGGCGGCCGGTTAGCTCAGGTGGTTAGAGCACAGGCTCATAACACCAAGGTTGCTGGTTCAATCCCCACATGGGCCTAGGAGCTGCGCCCTCCACAACTAGATTGAAGACAGTGACTTGACTTGGAGCTAATGGGTCCTGGAAAAGCACACTGTTCCCCAATAAAATAAAAATTTTTTAAAATGTAAATCCAATCATAACTCCCTTGCCTGTCCTCCAGTGGTTCCCACCAAAGGGCATGAGATGCCTCGTGATGATGACTCCTGGTTACTGAATACATTCCAGCACAGGGTCGCCTCCTTCCCACCCAGGCCACCTGATAGCTCAGAGCACTATTGACTTCAGTGTTATTTGCTGGCCTTTGAGTATATGTTCCAGCCTAGGCCTGGGGGGAGCCGAGAGGACTTTTTGGACCATGGCAGTCATCAGAAAACTTCCACACTTTACTTACCTTCTCCCCCAGCCACACTCAACTTCATGTTTTCCCCTCCTCTCTCCCGCTTCAGTCTATGAAGACCCTGCAGGATTTGCTCACTGACGTTCATGCACTCAAGGTCACCATTGAAACCCTCAGGAAGGATTTGGACATACTGAAGAAAATGTTTGATAAGGTAGACCCTCCCTAGCATCCTCTAAGCTGGCCATGCTGCTTGGACCTCTGGTGGTTGGGGGTGACAGGGTAAATCTGGGAAGCCCGTTCTTAGAGAACACAGCCCTGGGGGCAAGAGATGGGGACTGATGTGGCCCAGCCACTTGCCTTGTCCCACTGAACTCTCCGTGTCTTCCACCATGCTGTGCTCCTTACCCTCCTGTGTTAGGACACCACTTGGAAGTGACAGCCTAGTTCATTCTGGCATAGGCAAAATAAAAGAATTTTTTGTCTCATTTACTCAAAAGTCCAGGTCTGCCTTTAGGTACGGCTAGATCTAGGTGCTCATACTCCATTAGCCTGTCTCCCAGTGATGATTTTCCTCTGGGTTGTCTTCATATCTTCAAGTCTTGGCAACCCCAGGCTTACATTCCATCAACTTAGGAGAAAGAGAACACCTCTTCCTCTTCTAGCAAACCCTATCCACACTAAGAAGTAGATTAAACCTAACACAGGCCTACGTTCTAGCTCCCTTCATAGCCACAAGGACATGTTCTAACTCGTTACCACGATGTGGAAGCACATGGAATCCCTGAAGTGTGAGGCACAGCTGGGGAGTCAGAGCTGGGCTCAAAAGCCAGCTCTCCACATGCCCAGGTTGGCGTTGTGGCTGAGGTTTTACAACACGCCTCCAAATAACATGACTTAATGCATTGTCCCCAGTGCATAGGTCCGTGTATGCATTTGATTGTCATGGCAACTGTGAGAACTTCAATCTTGGGCTAGGTAGCTCCCATCTGAGCAGAAAGGGCACTGTTAGGAAACTGTGTCATGAAACACGAAAAAGGACCACTGGACAAATCTGTTTGAGAGACAGTGCTTCCTCAACCCACCTCTTGGAGATCCTTAACGTACTTTTGCCCATTAGAGGCTCTGAGAAGTCCTACAGTACAAAAACCTGTTGAGTGCTCTTTAAGCCCAGTGTTTCCCAAATGTGTTTGCCCAGGAAACCCTTTTCTACCCCTTTCTCACTCTCTGGGAAGTACTTGCTTTGGAATCTGTTATCCCTTCTCCAACCTTTAGTCACCTGGCACTAAGTCCTTATATTTGAGCCGTGGGAGAAGCATGGCCAGAGCCAGAACTTGCACCCCTCACCATGAGTTTGCCTCACTTGACAGATACGTGCGGAAAGAATAGGCACTTTCTTTGAAGATTTGAAAAGGCAGAACCAGAAGATGAATGAGCTGCAGCAGGGATTGGTGAGGGCCTCGGCACTGTCCTCCATCCCTGGTTCCCCGACCTCCAGTCCCAGGGGTGCTGGGAGTGGGGAGGGGTAAGGAGGGCAACACAATCTGGAAAGGCCCGTTTATTTGCAGGTGTGGAGGGCAGTGTGGTGTGGCGAGGGACCCACCCAAGGGGATCACGTCCTCCAGGTTCACGCCCCTCATTCCCAACCCCCTCCCTCCCCAGATTACTCTCCAGAAAGAGATTCTTGCCATCCCCAAAACTGAGGACATGGTACTCTGGAGCAGCCTCCACGAGGCCATGTTCACCCCGGTAAGTGAAAGAGAATAGAGGAGGGGGCAGCAGGGGTGAGGGAGCAGGCAGGGTGACCGCGGACATGGCCTGGAGCAGCCCTGGCCAGCCCAGCCCCCTTTTCTGCAGGGAACTTTTCCACAGAGAGCAGTTCCACTACGGCAGAAGGATTCTGAGCGGTGGCAAGCTAAAGAGCAGCTCCCAGAAACCGACCTTCCCCAGACCACCAAGCACCTCGGAAGTGATGGCCACAGCCAGGTCTCAGAGGCTGTCCCCAAGCCCCTGGAGATTGTCTGGCATTACCAGGTTCCAGAGCAACTGCAGCAGGAGGAGCCTACCCAGGCAGTTCCATTCACAGGGCCCCAGGGGCTGGGCCAGCCTCAGGTGCTCAAGCCTGGGCCAGCATCCAAGCCTAAGCCTGCACCTGGACCTGGGCCTGATTCCGTGCTGGGGCCAGAGCCTAAGCCCATGCCTGCACTGGGGTCCACGCTGGGACCCAGTCTGACACCTGGGCTCACGCAAGCACGTGGGCCTGTGTTCCAACCTGGGCCTGTCCCCGGACCTGGGCCTGTCCCCGGACCTGGGCCTGCCCCCAGACCTGCACCTGACCTTGGGCCTGCCCCCGGAGCTGGGCCTGTCCCCGGACCTGGATCTGACCTTGGGCCTGCCCCCGGACCTGGGCCTGTCCCCAGACCTGGGCCTGTCCCCGGACCTGGACCTGACCCTGGACCTGCCACCAGACCTGGGCCTGACCTTGGGCCTGTCCCCAGACCTGGACCTGCCCCCAGATCTGGGCCTATCCCCGGACCTGGACCTGACCTTGGGCCTCCCCCTGGACATGGACCTATGTATGGACCTGGGCCTTTCTACGGACTTGGGCCTGCCCCTGGACCTGGACCTGACCTTGGGTCTGCCCCTGGACCTGGGCCTATATATGGACCTGGGCCTTTGTACGGACCTGGGCCTGCCC